CTGCCATACAAGCCCAGCACAAGCCAGGGCAGCCCTGCCCACACTATGGTCCATGTTCAGCCACTGTTGCATACAGACATTATTTATTCTATTTAATTTGTAAATACAGAAAGGATGTGGTGTTACTCATCTGACCTACTCATTTGTACATTCTCCTCTAAGGTCAAGCTGCGCTTTCTGTGTTCAGACACGGACTCTCCCCGGCAGCAAAGGGCAGTGTGCCTTCGCGGCGCACGGGAAAGAGCGTTTGCACATCACAACTGGGAAAAAAGCAAAACAAAGGCAGCCCACGGAGAGCTTCACGCTCAGCTGAGCGCCGGGCGAGTGTTGTGTTGCGGGGGCACGCAGCGGAGCAGCCGCCGGGAAAAGGAGCGGGGCAGGTTGTGATTCCACAGGGGCATGCTGGGCGAGCGGCGTGTCCTGCGGGGCAGCAGCTCGGGGACCACGCACTGGGGAAGGGACAGGAGCACCTTGGGGCAGAGCGGAACGGCGAAACTGGTGGCAGGGGAATAGTTTCTGTCAGAATGGGAGCAAGGCTGAGATGGGAACAACTTACCACAGGCTACATTTTACTACTGCCAGGTCACTGCAGAGTTTTTCCAAAAGTCACTTGGTTTCCAAGAACCTTCACAGCGGGATAGCGCCGTTAAAACTGCTGGTGGAAACCCAGCTCGGGCAGTACTTCTAACCGAGTGACAAGATGAATCACCGCAGGCAGGAGAAGGGCTGTTGATGCATCGCTCTGTTTCCTTTTGTTACCTCTGACGTCACTCTGCTCCACTTAAGACACGTTCCCTGCGTCACACAGCGGGCCCGTGGTGGGTGTCCCACTGCAGCAGCCTCACCAGTGCCAGCCCTGTGCATCCTCCTGCCCTTCCATTTCCACCCTCTCTTCTGCCTCTGAGTATTTTGGGAATTGAGGATTTTTGCTTTCTTTTTTTCAACTTCCTCTGAAAAACAGAGTCATCAAAATGAAGCACGAGTTTTGTAGGATTTGGTTTGTGGGGCTGGGGTTTTTTTTTTGGTTTGGTTTTTTTTTTTCCTTTTACATGCTCCTGACGTCAAGCTCTGCGGCTGTATCCCACGCAGCGCTGGGTCCTGCCGGTTCCTGCTCACCACGAAAGGCTCCAGCCAGCAGCGTCCAGGGGTTTTTTTCGGTGTTTGCCCCCCCCTGGGAGAGCAGCCAGGGCTCTCCTCTCAACGAAACTCAGAGCTGAGTTTGCCAGGAAGCCACGGACCACGCGCTTTGGCTTCTATAGCTGAGAGTACGGAAATGTCCCCCCAATTCTCTGGAAATCCCAGATGGTCACATCTTCCTGAATTAAGTCACAGCCTAACGGGTGGAAGATGTT